TGACAGAAACAGTACTAACAAATCAAAATTAAGAAAAATAGTACCAATTTATTTTTTAAAAAATACTGCTTATATAGAACAAATATAGCAATATATGTTTCTGTTAACCTTTTTTAAAAAGTCAAATTGGGTAAATAAAACTCTTGTCAAACCGATAATTACCACCATACATACATTCACAAGTCGAGCATTATCAATAAGGACTTTCTCACGTACTCAATGAAGTTCACAATGGAGTAAAGTGTATAAGTGACTCATGCGTGTAAAGTGCCACTATTTTTCTCGTGAAACTAACTCCAAACCTTAAATTTGTGAGAAAGGACATGCTAACATCACTTTCAAATAAGTATGATCTCTACTGATGAAAATCAAACCCAAAAGTAATGTTAGGACCCGAAAACGAGCTCAAATATATGACAAGTTTATTTTCTCCCCCTGAAAATGAGCATGTAATTTTTTATATCGCATTCTCGTGAATTACATCTTATGTGCATACTCTTATTCATTAATCAACTGAATTGACTCCTATAACGAGTTTTAGGCTGATTAACCTAAGTCAGATGACCATACGTACCAAGTTAAGAGAAATCCCTTGAGCTTAATTGCTCAAATCAAATAGGCTCCGAACAAAAATATACGAAGAATCAAACATGTATGAAATTTTTTTTTTTTTAAAAAATAATGCAGGGAGACTCATCACAAGTTAGGTCATCTAGATATAAGTCGATTCACGTTCAAAATCACCCTACTAACATGTGACGAGCATCCCAAATCTCACACATGCGGCCCGGATGCACTCACAAGATCATAGTGTATGCTGTGCAGATGGTACATGGTGAAACCTTTACTCAAAACTCCATAGAAAATCTAACCAAGCGATTAAAATAAAAGTGTAGATGATAATGACATACTCGTCACACATGCAATGTTGAAGAACATCATAAACTGTCTAGGGCAAAAACTTTTTTTAAAATAATAAGGAACATTAATATCAAAAGGAAACAAATCCACACGAAATCAAAAAAAAAAAAAATGCAGATAAATGAGATGCATGCACAAATGAATGGACTTAATTGACTGCATATGCATGCACCTAAGGATCAAATCACGAAGAACCATGAATGCTCTTACCTTTAAGAGCATGACCAAACTCACGACTTTTTAGATCAATTTTTTTAACCCAAGCTTGCTTAGAAGTAGAAGTTATTTTAGTTAACCGAGTTATTATCTCAGTTAAGTGGCTAACCTGATTAGCGAGAAAGTTAACTTTGCTCGAAACATCCTCACTTTTACTCTTAGTCACGAGTTTACGACGCCTAGGTCTTGTATGTCCCAATGCACCACAATGGTGACATGTGGAAATAAACCTGGAATCAACTCTGTTCAGTGGTTGTTGCCTACAAATAGGACGATTGACCCTACGTTGTCTAATAGGTCACAATCCTACGTCATTCTTGCCCTTTGGTTCGGGGTAAACAATGCTTCGAGCTTTGTTAGTGGCTGGAACAAATGTGATCTTAGATGTATTGGCAGTATTATTACCATTATGAACATAATTCAGACCATGCCTATTTCCAGCAAGCTTGTTTATCCCAAGCAAAGTGTCCAGCTTCTGCGAGCCATTCATAAACGATTGAAGTTGAGTATTAGATTTATCAAGATCAGTAGTTAATGATTGAACTTTAATTTCCAAGTTTTCATTAACCAGCTTCAACTCACACAATTTTATGATCGAGTCCTGAAGGTCACTTAACAGTTTTTCACGTTCAAGTTCAAACTTGTTCACCTTTTTCAAGATGGCTTTATTGACCATTTTAATTTTTAGACTCTCCTCAAACAATTCACGATAAGACTCGTGAATGTCAATCTCATCATCAGACTCATTTTCAAACTGTTCACTAACATTCTATCTTTCAACTTTCTCAATCTCACAATCAGGTTCGATTGTAGCAATCGAGGTGAAGGCCATGAATTTTTTATCTCCCTCACCACCGGATGTCTCGTTCTGAGAACTAGTTTCTAACTCCTCATCACTCATGGTCACAGCTAAAGCCTTATGACGTTCCAAACCCGAACTCCTCTTTAAATTAGGACATTCACTCCTAATGTGACCATACCCCTTGCGTTCATGGCATTGGACATATTGAAATTTCTTAACGGGAGTCCTAGAGGTGTTTTTTTCATGCCTATCTCTCAAGAATTTACTCGAAATTTTCCTATTTCGCTCCTGAGACATTTTTCTATTCCTCATCACCTTCTGAAATTTTTTTAACAAAATAAACAATTTCGTCATCACTAAGGGTCTCAGTATCAGTGGACTCGCTCTCCTCTTTTCTAATGGTGTTCATGGCAATGTATTCAACAAATAAACGAATTCCAATTAATAATTCCATCTATAAAAATAAAATCAATGTCAATAGGCAAATGATAAAATCCCAATATTCCAATAGAAAAGAATCAATTCCATAAAAACAAAAATCCTACAATGAATTTCAATATTTGAATAGTCTTTAATTTCCAAGTTTTCATTAACTAGCTTCAACTCACACAATTTTATGATCGAGTCCTGAATGTCACTTAACAGTTTTTCACGTTCAAGTTCAAGCTCGTTCACCTTTTTCAAGATGGCTTTATTGACCATTTTAATTTTTAGACTCTCCTCAAACAATTCACGATAAGACTCGTGAATGTCAGTCTCATCATCAGACTCATCTTCAGACTGTTCACTCGCATTCTATCTTCAACTTTCTCAATCTCACGGTTAGGTTCGATTGTAGCAATCGAGGTGAAGGCCATGAATTTTTTATCTCCCTCACCACCAGATGTCTCGTTCTGAGAACTAGTTTTTAACTCCTCATCACTCATGATCACAGATAAAGGTTTATGACGTTCCAAACCCGAACTCCTCTTTAAATTAGGACATTCACTCATAATGTTATCATACCTCTTGCGTTCATGGCAATGGACATATTGAAATTTCTTAACGAAAGTCCTAGAGGTGTTTTTCTCATGCTTACCTCTCAAGAATTTACTCGAGATTTCACTATTTCGCTCCTGAGCTATTTTTCTATTCCTCATCACCTTTTGAAATTTTTTAACGAAATAAGCAATTTCGTCATCCCTAAGAGTCTCAATATCAGTGGACTCGCTCTCCTCTTTTCTAATGGTGTTCATGGCAATGTATTCAACAAATAAATGAATTCCAATTAATAATTCCATCTATAAAAATAAAATCAATGTCAATAGGCAAATGATAAAATCCCAATATTCCAATAGAAAAGAATCAATTCCATAAAAACAAAAATCCTACAATGAATTTCAATATTTGAATAGTTAGGGCAAGCAATTTCTTGCTTTTGAAGTGAGATCGAAGGCATAACTTGAAATTGGCACAAAGTCTTCAACAAAAACACAACTAATAACTTATATATTTACATTATGAATTTCATGATAAGGAATAAACATATTCAAAACACAAATTTAGATAGAGAACTAATACAAGACCTAATAATGCTGAAAAATTATAAAGTTGAAACTTAATTTTTTCAAACAAAAAGTATGAAGGAAATGCTCAATAATGAATTAACCCAATCCTATAACTCAAAAAAAAAAAAAAAAAACTACAGAAAATTTTATCAATTTTAAAAGCAACTGGATCGACAAAAAGGGCAATTGGTCAAACTTTGGGGTCTATAGGCGTATACCTTTGAGGTGGAGGGAAAATGTGGTTAGTCGCTAGCGTCAGGTGAGCTAAGTAAAAAAGGAAAATTATTTGGTGAAAATAACAAAACCTTGCCTGAACCACTCATTCATCACGTAGCTTCTGTTAGTACTTTTTCATCTACTTCCCGCATTCCTTCCTCACGGAGCTGCTGTTAGTACTTTTTCATGTCTTTTTATTCTCATTTTCACTTCCGGCCTTTGATTCTCAAGTCGTCTCGTTTCCTTCCCAATTTCTTCAATGCAGCTTGGATTTACGGGTTAATTCTAAAACAAGATAAAAATCAAAGGAAATCTATTTAAACACGCTCATTTTGTTATTTTGTTATAACTTGATATTTCTAAATAGTGTAAACTATTAATTTGATATATTCATAACTATTGAATTCATCGTCTCTGCAAATGTTTGCCGATTCTCCAATTCTCGTCCCTTCTTCCTCTCTCCCTCGTTGAACATCAATCACCAAAAAACTATAAAACAAAAAGCTAAAAAACTTGCACATTTATCAAACTTACTTTAAAACTTGAAATTGGTGTGACTTGATCTCAGTTTGACATATATGTCATGAATATTAACACAAGTTTGTAATGACACCTTAATTACGAGCCTGTTTGACAACCATTTTGGTAGAAAAGAAAGTTTCGAACAGTGATTTTAGGGTTAAAAAAAAAAATTTTGTATAGATATATTATTGTCACCGACTAGGAGTTTCCTTCAAGCACTGTCTGGCCTTAATGTCCCAAATTCCTGCCTCGTTACATTAAGCAGCCTTTGAACTCATCTTTAGAGGCCAAGTATTTAGCAACATCGAAATTTGACTAATTAAGGCAAGAAACAAGAAAATCAACATAAGAGTATATCAAAAATTGTTTTGTTAAAGATAAAAACTGTTTACAATAAATCTCGGTTGTTTTTATTATTTGACAATAGAGACATCATTATCATATTCCTAAATACAAGTAAACAGAAAACAAACAACTTAATCCATAAAGTCAACAAATTACATAAAACTATCCAAAGTAGTAAACAAAAGTTGGTCACACATAAAGATAAAATACTGGCATTTATTCAAGCTTCTTTACCACCGGTCAGTATCTACGTGCACAATTTTTCTTCATCTCGCATCATCCCTTTGCCAAATGAATTTGGAATAAGAAAAAATCCATGCGAAAATTGCGCCGTGCTAAGAGTTCCACCAGCCTCTATCTTTGTGGATCAACTTATAAATTAATACAGTTAAGCTTGCTAAAAGCAATGTACTAATATGATGTGATGAATCCTATTTGTCACCTGGAGAGTTAGATTTACTCTTGGAGGTGGAAAAGGGGAATGAATTTGAAAGAAACGTCAAGCCAGCCGGTTGAGAACTAGACGCGGGCGGGGATTTGTTCATAAAACTTGAAGCACATTTGTTGACATTTGAAGTTGATGGAAAGCTGGAAAGAATATGAAAATTAGGTTCTGTACTTGACTTTATATTTTGGCTGGACTTATCACCTACAGTTTGTTTCTCTGCAGTACTGGGAGTAGCACCACCAGACCCAATGATTGACGTAAGAGCAGCTGCTAATGCAGATTGAAAAATTGGGTCTGAAGTAATTGCTTTTGTGGCAGCTGCAATAGCATCTGGTGGAAGAGACTGTTGTGTAGGGTTTAGATTCTTTTGCAAGTAAGATTGGTATAGGGTTTCTTGAGGATGTGATCCAAAGCTTACAGTTTGGTTTTTGTTGTATGGTGGATTCCCATAACTGAGAACCCCATTACTCCAATAGATTGGTAAAGCATTTGATTCCAAAGAACTAAAGTTGAGATTTGTCGTAGAATATCTTGGAGGAAAGTTACCTAGTCGAGCAGAGGCTGTGTTTGAAGTGAGATCGAGAGTGATAGTTGGATAGGAAGGGGAGGACGAAAGCGAGGAATTTGGTAGGTAAAATGGATTTGATCTCGAGTTATCAGAGAGATGGAAATTGAATCCATTGAGATTCACGGAGTTTGTAGTAGGAGTAGATGATGAGGTTTCGCCTGATGATCCTGAGGTTGATGAGCCAGACATTAGCATGGAAGCAGCTGCAGAAGTGGTGAAGGCCATGGCAGTGGCGGAGACAGAAAGTGGATGGTTATGTGTTCCTTCATATGTAGTGATCAAGATTGACATGTCATCCGCACATCTTTGCAACTTCAAGTTCAAAAACAAGAAAGTAGTGAGAAAACATGCATACACTTGCACATTCTAGTAACGACTAGTAGCTTATTTTCTAGGATGGACTGTAATCTTTTTTATTTGTTCAATCATGTACCGAATATAAGTGACGGACACAATTGACGAGATTTTAACTTTTTTGGTGCACAATCGAGTCTAACTTATAAAGCATGACAAGAGTATACCACGATGTTTAACCTGAAGATCAAACATTTTTATGGAGTATAATGATACCTGCTTTCTAACTGGGCAGGATGGTGCAACAGTGCAACGATAATATGCTCGAGGGCATGGGTTTCCTTTCGCAATCTTCTGCCCATATTTCCTCCATTGACATCCATCATTCATCTATACAATCACACCAAATATATATCACATTATAATTCAGCTTATATTTAATTAAACAAGAATATTAAACCAAATTCAAGATAATACAGATGTAATAATCTCACTGTTGGGGTGTCGCATCTGACTCTAACTGAAACCTTGGCTCTTTTAGCAGGGTTCTGCTGAGAGAGTTCACCATCACCATTTCTAACAATATTCTTCAACAGGCTATGGGGTGGAAAATTCTCTCCTGCAGTTTCTTCCTTAATTTCTTCTACGCTAGTCTCCTGGCTACCAACCGGAGAAGGTTCGACTGGTGGTACTTTAAATTTGCAGTCCAGTCCTAGATCCAAGATTCCTTGTTTCTTTAATTTTTCATCAATTTTTTCTTTTTTTGACATTTTAGAGAACCCATCTTTTTTTGCAAAGTGATCGCTTGAACTCATTCCCAGGCTGAGGGAGATAAGTTCTGCAGATTCTTCTTCTGTATCTTGAACTGGACTTGTTGATTTTTTAGCAGCTTCTTGTTCAACTACATCTTGGTATTGCATTTGAAGGGTCCGATAATCCTTTAGAATTCGATCTAAACACATCCTCAGCCTTTGATTTTCTGCGATCACTTCACGGATCTCGACTTTTGCCAATTCAAGTTGATGGTCATCCTGCAATTAATCCCCACAATATCATTTCAAGTTCATGTAATATTCATCTTGAAATATCTCTCCTATAGATAGATACACAGAAGTTTTAAACAAGATTTTTTCTTCATAATTTCCCTTCAAATTCGAGACATTATTTCTATATATCCTTTCAAAATAGAAAGATAAAGAGCTAACCTGTTCCTTTTTGGCAGAAGAAGATGCCATTGAATCAGTAATTTCAGCTGATGATATCTTAGTTAGAATAGGTCCCTGTCAAAATGTTTCTTGTTAGAAACTCAAAATTTTTGATTTGATAAATATAACTAGGATTGAAGGGTTTCACAAAGATTTTATTCACATTACGTTATTAAAGAAATAGTATCGATGGAGTGACCTGTTCAGATTAAAAACTAATTACTCGGTAGCTATAAATTTGGACTTTCAAGGTCTTTAAATAGTAACAAGTTGCATATGATGTTTGAAAACACTAATTAATCTGGCTTGCTAGTTAATTAAAGGTCAATGGTGTAGAAGGGCTGCAAAGCTGCTTTATAGCAATTTACTAATGAATATGACGTTTAAACTCAAATCTTGAAACAACGTTCTCTGAAGTTATTATTCGTGTATTTTTTTTTGTTTCAGTGTATATAATTATGTCATCCTACCGACGGTAAATTAATTTTTAGTATATTTAGATAATATATTCGCCGCTTTTTATCTCGAATTATCATCAAGAAATGATGAGAATGCAAGAAAAATAGATAACAAATCAATAAATGAATTAATCAATATCTAGTGCAAATTATATTTATATTTTTTTTCTCACTTACTTGCTTTGATAAATTCTTCTGATCAAAAGATGGCTTCAAGCTGTCATGTCCGTGGTCCCCTTTACCATTTCCCACCTGACAAAATAACAACGTTAGGCTGTGGGTATTCAATAATCAGAAGCAAGTAGCCATAAATATTTGAGGGAATATGTATCTTATATATCTTTCTCACTTATTCTATGCACAAAATGAAAATTCAAGCCAAATTTTTTTTCCTAAGATCTGAAACTCAAAAGTGTTCTTTCTTGAATTTGTGCATGTATCGCATCAACTAATAATCTTAAATCAAATTTAAGTTGTTTTTTGTGTGTGATGAGATCAATTTAGAACATGGCTATCTGAAAATTTTCACATACTTTTAAGTGAAAATTTACCATGAACCCGAATTATCATATACCTGCACATTATCATAGACCTGCATATCATAGATGAAAAGAAAGATATACCTACCTGAAGAACAGCATCTTCTTCACATCCTTTATCTTTAGAACTTGTTTGTGCTTTATTTTCTTCATTGATTTCACCTCCAGAAACTAACTTTCTCATAGTAGACTCCATAAAAGTTATACTCTCTCCTTTCTCTTTCTCTCTAGGAATTGTTTTCTTTGTAATATGTTAACAGCAGTGGTATTCTTATGATGAGAGGGAGCCTGCACTATTTGACTTTTTAAAACAAATTCAAACTCAATGGCTTCATCAATCAAACACACAGAAAATGTCAATGGCTGAATTGCATTAAACTTATATATACATATATAAATAATACAATGACTGTCATATTCATACCTACATATAAAGAACAACTTGAAGAAGAAGAAGAAATCAACTTCAACGTTTAAGTCCTTAAGACAACATGCCCTATATAATATACATACACCTATGCTTGGCTCCCATTTTTTTCAAAACTCATTTTTTACCATACATTATCCCGTAAAATAATTTTACAAACAAACCTAAAAATTTTTCTTATATTTTAACCACATATTCTTCAATAACATACTATTTGAAATGCATTTTAAAAGAAAATGGAACTCAAACAAGCACGTAGGGGGCGTGGGGTGGGGTGGGGTAGGGTTAGCGCAATACTATGTCCTCATGACCGTATAGGCTAATATATATTTGAGAAAAATATAGTCTATATTTGAGCCTCATTTTTTCGTAAAAGATTATTTTTTGAAGAATGCATGATTAAAAGTCAATTTTTTTTAGATTTACGTACACAATTATTTTTTGGAGAAAACTTATGAATAAAAATGAAAATAATCGAAATTTCTACATAGCAAAAGTGACATGGTAAGACCGATTACTGGTCAAACTTGTCCGCGAAAACAAAGAATCTAAGGCTTCGTGGTCCTGTGGCAAGTCCGAATACCGGTTCCTCCGGTTGTCATCTTGCCTATTCAGCTTTGACTTCTTCACTAGGGTTTTACTGAGATTTCTTTTGCTGACAATGGATTTGATCTTTATAAATTACAGTACTAGTGCGCATCTGAAAATATTCTAATTCAAAGAGTAAATTTATTAGAAATTAATTATTCTTTCAGAAAATTAATATTTAAGGTTTCCCATAACAATCAACAAGTCTTTAAATTATTCATCCGATTACACATTACAATATTCCATTAGTTGTTATATAAGAGCCTATGCATTTTCTATAAAAAATTGCTCATCTCATTGTACATGATAATTTCACCTTAGAGGGTCGACAAACGAATCATTTATGATATGGTACTATGTCATTCATTGCCTCTAAGTGCCTAGCTCGGTATCTAAAGTTAGCCTTTATCATATTAGGTCTCCACAAAATCGTAAAGCCATATATACATAGGGTTGACGTTTGTGCAGTTCCATAAACTATCCCTCTCTCCCGAAACAAAGGATTAAAACTTTCCACGTCTCAAATTGAATTTAAAGGTTTAATAGATGAGTAATGTTACCTATCTAAACTGTGAATGGTATTCAATGCATTTTAAATTTTAATCTTTCTCAAAGTAAGCCCCTGTTTGGTGGCCTTCTTTAAAAAAATATTATTTTAAATAGTGATTTTTTAGAGAATGTATGGTTAAAAGTAAGGAAGAATTTTGATTTTACGTGTAGAATATTTTATTTCGTGAATGTGTAGTTAAAAATAAGTATGTTAAAAAATAGTTTAAAATGTGAAACAAACAAGAGCTAAATATATTACTTTTTTTATTTTGAGTATTTGAGAATCATTTCTCTTATACACTTAATTTTAATTATATATTCTCCAATAAAATTATTTTTCAACGATTTAAAGAAAAATACTTTTCAACTAATCAAAATCAAACAAGTACATATATTGTGGAATTGGAGGGACTGACTCCTAAATATGGTTTAGAAGGCGACGACTCTAAAATGTTAGAATGTAATTAAGCTCCAAAAACTAAAAACTGATTATTGATTACTCGTACCAAAATCCTAGTGTTAAGAGGTCAACTAATTTTTTTTTTTTCATTTCTAAATTGCACTTATTGTAAAAATACTAGAATCGCTCTATACCACTTGTTGAGAATAATATGAGTAATATGAAAATAATTAATTACACAGAAAACAAGATTTACGTGGAAACCCAAATTCGGAAAGATCACGGTCAGAAGCGGAGAATTCTGTTATATATGTGGATCATATAGAGTGGAACACAAGTTTACCTAATCAAAATGGTCGATGCCGAAGCGGAGTGGAGTGAGGGAAGTAGAGCGCACCAAACAGAACGAAGCGGAGTGACGATATCGATCTTGTGGATTTAATTCACTGTTTGTTTACCAATGATGTTGAATAGATTGGGGGTGAAGGAACAATGTCCCCGCGGTATGGTACAGGTTTATTTTTTTTATTTTATTTTATTTTTTTGTATAGACATATCAAGTTATAGGGGAGGGGATTCAACTCTCTCGATTTGTCATCGCCCCCTAAAGTTCTGTATGGGCTTGAACTTGGGTTAGGATTAGTATAAATACTGATGATATAATCATATTATTCATACTGAATAAAAATCTCAACTTCGCTCCTTGTGTTAATTTCTCTATTTACTTCTCTATTATTTTGCATTTAAAATCTAAAAAATTCACTATAATCAATAGTAAAGAATTAACAAAGATCTCTTGGACCAGTAACTAATTAGACAATTAATCATTTCCAATATGAGTTGTACAACACATATTTATAACCAAAAAATCACTAACATATTAGGAGAATTAATACATGAAGAGTTTAATGTAAAGTAAATTCTCAATACAATAGGAAAAATCAATGATTGAGAATTTGGGATGAAATATGAGTCAAATTCACTTCTAATTCCTTCAAAACATTTTCAAGTCTACTACAAGCTTCTAATACTCCTCTAACAACATTTTCAATCAGATAGGATAATCAGTACATAACGTCCTTACCATTCACTTCTTGGCATTTTTACCCTTATTTCTACCTTTCATTGCACAAAATATCATTTTCACCCGTTTTCTCAATTAAAAGAAATGAAACGACGAATATACACTTCTATTTAAATAAAACAAAAAAATTAATTGTAATTATAGTCCCAATTTTTTTTTAAAAGTGCAAACGAATCCCAAATAAATTATTAAAAGAGTAATTAGCATATAATATCTCTACCTTTCATTATTCCTTTCATTTTTTGGCATTTTCACCATTCATTACGCACTCGATTGCATAAATCATCATTCTCTTCATTTTCATCAAATTTCTCAATAAAAGCTGTGAATGACGAAAATACTGTCCTATTTAAATAAAAAATAAAAATAGAGAGAAATATTTTTTAAAATTTCTAATTTTTTTAATAATACATTTGGTACTCGTTTGCACTTTTCTAAAAAATAAATTCTGTTTTTTTAATAATTTATTTGGGATTCGTTTACACTGTTTTAAAAAAAAAATTTAATTTCTATTTTTTTTCATAATTTATTTGGGACTTGTTGGCACTTTTTTTTAAAAAAAAAATCTAATTTGTTAATAATTTATTTGTGACTCATTTGCACTTTCTAGAAAAATAGGATTGTGATTGCAATTAGTTTTTAAAAAAAGGGAAAAAAAAACTAATGAAGTGTGCTTAGGGAAGACGAAAGAGAGGAAGAAAACAATTTAACCGTTTAGGGATTGGGAAAAAAAAAAGCGGCTAGACATGAAACGATGCATACTACTCTAAATACCCTCCAAAACTTTACTGTTGAGCTTGAAACAAGGATAAATATTTGAGATTTATTCCCCTTACATTGTTCCGAGCAACATGTTATATTTGAATAAAAATAATTATTTTAATTTTAATAGTATAAATTATTGAATAAAATATATTATAAAATATTTTAAATTTAAATCTACTATCATCCATATAAGAATTGATACAAGTTTTTAAGTTTCGATGAATAGTGAATTCAACTTATATGTAAGAATTTAATATAATACATAATTTTGTATATTTATCAATTTAAAAGTTTAAACACAGTGACAATATAGACGTAACTTTCACAAATATACAATAGATTTAACCAACGTCACTCAAAATAGAAAAAATCCAAGATCCAAAATAAATAGTGTGATTGGATAGAAATTGATGGCGTGGCAACTTTTATTCAGATAAAGAGTTGAAAAGGGAACGCTGAAATAGTCAGCAAGTCTTCATACGAAATTAAAGCCAAATGTTTACCATTGAAAATTGTACACTGTGTACATGTTACAGAAATCAAATTTCAACGTTTATAGCCGTGAGATTTGCTAGAGAGACAAGGCTGGTCTCTCCAAGGGGCCCATGTGGCATCCCTATTGGCTGGATCCTGAACAAATAGCAAAACTCTTTATTACAACTAGCTGATAATGAGGGAAACATGGGGCCATTATTTGACCTAATAAATTTATTTATTTAGTATTTCCAACTCCAAGACTTTAGAGTGGACAAGCATTGTAATATTTGTACAATGTTTCTTACAACCAACTCTCTATATCCTAGCAAGAATAAAGTTAAGGGGGTGTTTAATGCACATTATTAAGAAGAAAATGTATTTTATGATGTGATGTGATGTGATGAAAAATATATGGTTAAAAAGTAAAAATAAAAATTTTTGAATTTGCATATAATATTATTTTATTAAAAAATTTGTGTTTGAAAATAAGAGTTGAAAAAATGAATTTGAGGAAGAATGTGGATCAAACAGGGGCTAAGTATACAATATTGATTGACAACCATGAGTTGTCAAAATTCTAATATGTGATGTAAAAAAAAAAACTTTAATGGATAGATATGATGACGTCAAATACGATGTTGTCAACCAATGTTATAAATGTAGCATGATTATTCTGGCAACCTGATTTTTATTTTATTTTTGTGTATTTGACTTTTGATGGCTATTGATTATGATATAAATTTTTTATCCAAGCAAGTGCTGAAAGTAATAAAAATTTTATTGTACATTACTATTTACATAATATTTTACAGATCAAAGATGTGTTAAGTAGACCAATTTTTTTTTTAATTTGGTTGATAAGATTTTGACTCAATCAAATTTCGACATATCATG